ATGTGCTTTCTAAATTGTTTCTTTCTTTCTAAATTTATTACATTTTTAAGGAGAAAAACGTAATTTTCTATGCGTCTCTGCCTTTGTCCTGGCGTGTGTGTGTGTGTGTGTGTGTGTGTACGTACTAAGTATTATGTGAGACCCTCCCAGTTTGACCTACCTTACCTTAATTTCAAGTCAGTCTGACTGGATTTCAAAGTAAAAGCCCTTGGAAATGTCTTTGGTGCTCCAAAATCTCATCAGGTTTGTTTAATTATTTTATTTATCTTTCTTAATTCTGAATGACGACATAGGGAAACATGGAGGCACTATCAACTTCAGCTTCATAGTATCTCACCCTACAGTTACTCGGCCACTCTAAATTAACTCTTGCATTGTGAAATATAAAATCAGCCTTTCGAAATGCACAGTGGGAGAAGTGATCTACTTCTGAATAAGAACAAGACCAGAGAAAGTGAGTTCAGTTTAAGGACGATGCCTATAAGACGGTCCATCCTGGGACAGCATGTTGAGCTGGTGGAGCACAGGTACCTGGATGTGCACACTGACAATTAGCTGAAGCAGAAGACCAACAAAGAGCCTCTACACACAAAAGGAGCTGAGCAGCCTCTATGTTGTGGAAAAAGTGGAGACCCTGTAACGTGCAGCAAAATTATAGAGATGTTCTTTCCCTCAGTTCAAATGAGTACGGTGCTGAGGTCTGCTGGTGACACCAGGAACGATGAATAATCCAACCAGGAAGGCTCCTCTGTGGAGGATTCTGAAGCTGGATTGGTGAGAACAAACTGATAATGCTTTTTTTTTTTTCTCAACTTTACTACTAGAAGAATATAATCTATCATATGAGTAATCATTCTAGCTGAGATTTGTACCTTTAGCCAAAAGCTTTTGAGTAGGATTTCCGGATGGTAAGTCTGCTATGAGCCGTCCAGCCTAGTGTACTACTAGTAGTATACTACTTTTCCAGAATCGCTCTGACACAGGATATTGCGAGTTTTAAGAGTACTGTGTTTCTAGAGATTTGTTGGATGCTGAAGAACTCTGATAGAAAAATGCCCACAACATTAGG